TTTGGGGACCCCTGCCCTAAATCATCATCTGGAATTTCGCGTTTTCCTTACTTTTTTTTTTTTTTTTTTTGAGACGGAGTCTGGCTCTGTTGCCCAAGCTGGAGTGCAGTGGCCGGCTCCGCCTCCCGGGTTTACGCCATTCTCCTGCCTCAGCCTCCCGAGTAGCTGGGATTATAGGCATGCACCACTACGCCCAGCTAATTTTTGTGTTTTTAGTAGAGACAGGGTTTTGCCATTATGGCCAGGCTGGTCTCAAACTCCTGACCTCAGGTGATCCGCCCACCTTGGCCTCCCACAGTGCTGGGCTTACAGGTGTGAGCCACCGTGCCTGGCCTATAATTTCATTTTTTAAATGTTTACTTTGTATAATTTCAAAACCATGCAACTGACATAGAACAAACCCAATCATTCGTGGTAAGTATACAAGTAATGCTTATACAAATTGGCAAATCTTGGATTTTTAGTAATCTCAAACTTAGCATGTCAAAACTGAGCTCCTTACCACCCCTGCCTAAACCTACTCTTCCCACAGTCTTCCCTATCTGAGTAAATTACAATTCCATTCTTCCAGATCAAAGGCCAAAAACCTCCTTTGCTCACACCTCACATTCAGTAACCAAAATCCTACCAGTTCTACCTAAAAAGGCAACAAGGAAAAAATATATATACCAGGTATTTCTCACTACCTTCACAACTATCACTTTGGCCCAATCCCCATTCCTCATTCTGATTATTGTGGAAGCCTCCTAATTAATTGATCTCCCTGCTTCTTCTCTTGCCTTATTTAGTGTGTGTGCAGCACATAAGCTAGAGAGAGTAAACATGTCAGATCATGTCACTATGTTGTTCAAAACTTACCAAAGGCCACCCATGTTAGAGTCAAACCAAAATCTTTACAATGCTGTACAAAAAGAGGCTGGGCACAGTGGCTCATGCCTATAATCCCTACTCTTTGGGAGGCCAAAGTGGGAGGATGCTTGAGCCCAGGAGTTTGAGACCAATCCAGGCAACATAATAAGACCCTATTTCTACAAAAACTAAAACATTAGCCAGGTGTGTTGTTGCATGCCTGTAGTCCCAGCTACTCAGAGAAGCAGTGGCAGGAGGATTGCTTGAGCCCAGAAGTTAGAGGCTATGGTGAGCTGTGATTCCACCACTGCACTCCAGCCTGGGTCTCTTAAAAAAAAAAAAAAAAAAAAAGCCAGGAGCGGTGGCTCACGCCTGTGATCCCAGCACTTTAGGAGGCTGAGGTGGGTGGATCACCTGAGGTCAGGAGTTTGAGACCAGCCTGGTCAATATGGTGAAACCCCATCTCTATTAAAAATACAAAAATTAGCCGGGTATGGTGGCAGGCACCTGTAATCCCAGCTACTCAGGAGTGTGAGGGAAGAGAATCGCTTAAACCCAGGAGGCGGAGGTTGCAGTGAGCAGAGATCATGCTACTGCACTCCAGCCTGGACGACAGAGTGAGACTTCTCAAACAAACAAACAGACAAATCCTACATAGTCTGTCTTCTGCTGCTCCCCCACTGCACCTCCTATTACTTCACCCTTCACCTACTTAGCTTCACTCACACAAGCCTCCTGGTTCTTCCTAGAACATGTCAGATAGAATCCTTCTCTGGGCCTTTGTATCTATCCCTGAACCACTCTTCCTCCAAATATTTGCATCTCCAGATATTTACATAGCCTACTGCCTCATTCTCCTCAAGGCTTTTACTCATATGAGGCTTTCCTTAGCCACTCTATCTAAAATTACAACATCTACTCAGCCTGCTTCCAGCATTCTCTACTTCCCTGCTCTGGTTTTATCCATATTGCCATATTATATGTCACTAAATACTATATAGTTCATTTATTTGCTTATTGTCTGCCTTCTTTCACTAGAATGTATGTTCCATAATGTCAGGGATTTTTTCTTTTATCACTGTTGTATCCTTAGCATCTAGAACTGAATATGTGTTGAATGAATGAATGATGAATTGGTGGGAAAATAAGCAGGCCTTGCATGCTGAGTAGCTATCAGCGTTCGACAGAGAGAACGGAGAGCTTTGTTTAATCTGGTGAATCTGTTGGGTGGAATAAAAAAATAAAAAATTGGAAAGTTTCTACTTATTTATTTATTTATTATGTTTCGAGACAGAGTGTCACTCTGTCGCCCAGGCTGGAGTCCAGTGGCGTGATCTCTGCTCACCGCAACCTCTTCCTCCTGGGTTCAAGCAATTCTCCTGCCTCGGCCTCCCAAGTAGCTGGGACTACAGACGCACACTACCACACTCAGCTAATTTTTATATTTTTAGTAGAGACGGGGTTTCACCATGTTGGCCAGGCTGGTCTCAAACTCCTGACCTCAGTTGATCCACCTACTTCAGCCTCCCAAAGTGCTGGGATTACAGGTGTGAGCCGCCATGCCCAGCCAACTCACTTCTTTAAATCACAGAAATAAAAATGTAATTATAAATTGATATGTATGGGGCAGGGATAGGTATGTATAGAGAAGAGAAAGGTGAGATGAAAGGTGAGGTGCAAGGTGGGGAGAAAGGTGGGGTGCAAGGAAGCCTTCTTCGAGGAAGCAGCATTTAAGAAGAGACCTGGAGGTTATGTTGAAGTTGGGTGAAGGGGAAAGTGGGAGAAAGGATTTCATGCAGGGAACAACTTATGCAAAGGCCCTGCAGCCAGAATGCCCACAGAAAGTTGCATGAACTGAAGAAGGCCAATGTGATGGCATCAAAGAGAGCAAGGGCACAAGCAAGACTACCGAGACCACCTATCACCATCTGTAGTTTGGTACATTTAAATAATTGTAATTACCAATTTTGAACTTTTCTATCATTGAGGAATGAATGGCTGGCTTACCCTCCTTAAAAGAGTTTCCATCCTGAGTAAATAGTGTGGGGATGGGACTGGGGAACAGAGTTATGTTTAAGAGTAGAAGACCTCGTGTGTGTGTGTGTGAGAGAGAGAGAGACACACACACACACACAGAGACACACAGAGAGAGAGAGACACACACACACACACACACAGAGAAAGAGAGAGAGAGAGAGGGAGTTTCACTCTTGTTGCTCAGGCTGGAGTGCAATGGCGGGATTTCGGCTTACTGCAACCTCAGCCTCCCAGGTTCAAGTGAAGTGGGTTCTTCTACTTCAGCCTCCCAGGTAGCTGGGATCACAGGCGCACGCCACCACGCCCGGCTAATTTTTGGTATTTTTAGTAGAGACAGAGTTTCACCATGTTGGCCAGGTTGGTCACAAACTCCTGACCTCAGGTGATCCACCCACCTCGGCCTCCCAAAGTGCTGGGATTACAGGCATGAGCCACGGTGCCCGGCCTTTTTTTTTTTTTTTTTGGGAGACAGAGTCTCACTTTGTCACCCAGACTGGAGTGCAGTGGCACGATCTCGGCTCACTGCAACCTTTGCCTCCTGGCTTCAAGTGATTCTCCTGCCTCAGCCTCCTGAGTAACTGAGATTACAGGCGTGTGCCACCACATTCGGCTAATTTTTTGTATTTTTAGTAAAGATGGTCTTTTGCCATGTTGGGCAGGCTGGTGTTGGATTCCTGACCTCAAGTGATCCACCCGCCTCCGTCTCCCAAAGTGCTGCCATTACAGGCATGAGCACGGCGCCCAGCCCAGAAGGCCTTTTCAATATCCCTGAAATATAACCTGAGCACCGCTGTCTTGGGGCCTGAAGTTGGAAGTGGTTACCTTTATTCTTTGTTTATCTGGATGTCATTTCGATTTTGTTTTCAAGTGCAGTAAAGAATTAAAGATCTCGTCCATCAAAAATGCTCCCTCTGAGTGTGCATTTCGGGTTTTAATATGGGATTGTCTAATGGATTTGACAGGCTGGCGGTCCAAGTTGAAAAAGTTCTATGGGTGCCTAACAGTCAAAGATGCCTTTATGAAGCTTTAGGAAGACCAGACATGGTTTGCCTTCAATTAACAAAAAGGTGGAATATAAATACATTTGTACTTATATATTCCTTTTTTTCTTCTCCTCCTCCTCTGCCTCCAATTGACCTCCTCCTCCTCCTCCTCTTCTTTCTTCTTCCTTTTAACTCTCCTTTCAGAGTTAAAGACTGGAGCTAAGGAAAGGGGAGCAATAGACAGATGAAGTGTTTCCCGGATCGCTGCCCCACGCTCTTTGTAATAAAGGAAAAAGTGGCCAAAGGTCAATGCTTAGGGTAGTAGAAGATAATGTAGTGGCTTGGCTTCTTGACTGGAAACTAGGACGGGTAGAGTAGCTGAGAGAAGTGGGCTCCACAGCAAACGGGTTGCGGGTAGGGGGAGCCAGCTCCAGACCGGTAATGAAGCCCATTTCAGCCTCATTCCTTTCCCGTGGCGGAGGCAGCCTTCCTTCCCCAGGCCTGGCTGGAGGTGGAGGCAGGCCCAAGGTTAGGGGGTCAGCCCGTGCACCTAGGGCCGGGAGACAGACAAATTCTGGCGGAAAGTTGCAGCCACGCTCCCCCTCCCCTGCTTTTCTCCTCGACTCTCCACCCCCCTCCGGGTGATCCGGCGGAGGTGGGGGTTGGGGGAACTGGCCTTGTGTTTTGGAACAGCTGCAGCCGGCGCTGGGCCCGCCTGGAATGCGGGAACAGGCTGCGCACCAGGACTTTTATGGAAACTTGCTGCTGGAGACGGCGGCGGCGGCGGCGGCAGCGGCAGCCAGAGGACTCCCAGCGGCTGGAGCAGAAGTGTAACGGCCAGAGCTCCCAGACCCTTACCCACAGCTAGGCAGGACGTGCACAGTCCCTCCACACGAAAAGAAGGACCTTCGCGGGTCACCGGCTCCTGGAGGGTGAGAAGAGTTGGGGGAACGTGGGCTAGGGGGAGTGGAGACTGAGGTGTAGGGTCCCCTGGCGGGGGCGGGGGCGGGGGCGGGAGCGGCGGCTGCAGCGGCTGCAGGGAGGCGCTCGGGGTCCGCGGCTTCTGGCGATGCTCCGCTGCAGCACCAGAGTGCGCCGGGCGCCATACAGCTGTGGCTCCGCACTGGCCCCGGCCCGGGCGAACCCGGCCTCCGAGCCGCGCCCTGCGGGCTAGGCGGGGTGCCGAACAGGGGCTGCCCCAGTGTCTGAAAGCGTCAGCCGACCTCGGGCTTCTGGTTGCGATGTCTTTGCCCTGCTCCCCTGCGCCTTGTCGGCTGAGTTTCAGGTGCGTTCCGTACTGTAGGGAGGGAGCCCTCTGTGAGCGGAGTGGGTGCCGGTCCCTCGGCTGAACTCTTGGGGTCCTTAGGGAAGTTCGGTGCCGTCCACCACGTGCCCCCGCCGCGGTCTCCGTCTCTGCCAGCAGTGCCAGTTAAGAAATTCTTTCTGATCGTCCCTGTGGAAGATGGGAAGAAATACGATTTAACAGCCTATTACTCCCCCGACACCCCCGCATATCCCCCCACTCCTGTCTCCAACCCGTTTTTTTTTTTTTTTCGTCATTCTCCCCGCGGTGGGATGCTGGGGGTGGGCAACTAGGGCTGGAAGTTTACGAAGTTTACGTAGTTTACGTGAGTGAAGAGTGTAGTCACCTCTTGAGAATTCCCCTTGCTTATATGCTTTTGAAAACGCCAAACCATTCCAGCTGTTTGTAAACTGTGAAACGTTCTACAAATGCATTAGCATTGGCATTTATAAAGAAAATGACGAAGTTGAGAGGTTATAGTTGGTTACTGCAATGACTTAGAGATACTCATTTTATAGTTATTAAAGCACAACGTGAACAAAGTTGGCAGAGAGATAACAAGGTAAAAATAGCATAAGTCCTAACAAAATGTCCTCGGTTTAAAGACACAGGTAGAGAAAAGAAGCCATAATAAAGAAATCAGTTCCCTGACCAAAGCAACAGGAACATCATTCATCGTTAAATTTTATTAATGAATTCATGTAGCAGCGGCCCATTGGCCTGCGAGTCACCACATAACTATGTCTTAGGTAATGTGATTAAATAAAGTTTTTATACCATCTTAGTCACATGTTATTGAGTGGACCACATAATTTCCCCCTCTAATATTATCCTTTTACAGGTTAAATTGATGCAGTAAGAAAACTGTCTCGAATTCTTTTGAGTTTGGAGTATTGTTAAGAAAAACTGCATAATTAATCAAATGAGAGAAAGGTTTTTTGGGGGGAGGTATAATTTGTATAAGTAAACTCTGACTAACCAATGTAGCTGTTTAAGTTTCTTCTTCCTTCCAGCAATCAACACCGTATTTTTGCAGATACTATATATTTTGACTAATACTTCTGAGGAACAATTTAAAGAAAAATGCATGCAATTATGTAGTTTATCTGCAACAGTTCCCTCAAAGAATTCTAAGCTAAAACCACAACAAAATTATTTTAAATCCAGTTTTCCTCATTATAGTTATAATGTAATCCAGTTTTAATAGAAGATTCATACTTTAAAATCCATTTTCGATTAAAATGTAATGAATAGCAATTTTTCCTGCTCATCTTAAAATGGAATTTGTGCTATTTTTGAAAATTTGACATGTAAGGCTGATCATTGTCAAAATGTATGTCATCTTGAGATGACTATATTTAGCATCAACAAAGGAATGCATTATCTAGGTTTTTGAACAGTATTTTTCCCCTGAAATTTCACTTGAAGTATTTAGGTTAGGGTTTCATTTTTGAGCAGAATGAAAACTAAATATGCATATTTGGAAGAGATTAATTGGGGATTCAGACTGCTTAGAATATGAGCGGCCTATAATGACATATTTCATTTATTAAAAAAAAATACCTGTTATCTTTGAAATGCCCTAAAAGACAAAAAAAAAAAAGGGGGGGGGATTATTTAAATATGAGAGTTGTACACACCTAAAAGAAAGAAAATAATGCAGTGAATGTGGAAAAGTATGTAACAGATAGGTAAAAGTCTAAATGTTTTTATAGAAGAGAGGACTTTTAGTATATTTTATAGTTTTACAGGCCACACACACACAGAACATCTTGGTAGTTTATAATATGGAGAGAAAATGATTTATAACATTCCTAACAATTTCACATATTTCTGTTCTTAATCAATCTGTGGTCCATATCACCTGTGTAGTTTCTTTCATGTTCTCTTTCTGGGTTTATAATTGCATAGTTACATATTATATACATTTGAAATGGCTACATTTTCCTTTTCTGTTTAAATATTCAGTGTATAGTTTGGCTTAATTTATAGTAGTTTACTTTCTATATTCTAGGGTGGGTGGATTTGTACCCATAAATCCACCTTAAATTTTAGTTTAATTTGTATTATAATGTTAATACACCATATTATATTTATGGTTAAAAATTATGGAGAATGGAAAAAGGGGCTCTTGTAATCTGACACCCTTACTGTTAGGATTTTGATGTATTTCCTTTTAGTCTTTTCCCCATGCATAGAATTCTTTCTTTTTGCATTGGCATATCTCAATAAAACAACATATGAAAGCATCCCATGCAGTGTCTGCCATCCAGTAACTGCTCAACAGGTGATTCTTTTTCTTCCTCCTTTATTTCCTTCTTGACATCTCCTCCTTTTTACTTTTAGATTAGAAGACAAGTAGATTGGGGCTCCCTATGCGAGGTTTCGAGGTTGGTGAAATTCACTTCTCACCATCCATCCTGGGCCTCTTCCCTGTCTTTTCTTCCCCTTTGACTCTGCTTCACTCTTTCTGGCCAAAATAGGCCTCCCCTTTGACCCTTTCCATTTCTCAGTGTTGTCTGTTCATTTAGACTAAGGCTATGGCAGTCAAAAAGTCGACAGTCAAAAAGACACCTTTTACTTCCTGATTACCAAGTGTAGGAAAAAAGGTAAAAAAAAAAAAAATCAAAAACCAAAAAGATACTTTTGGGGCTGGGCATGGTGGCTCATGCCTGAATTCCCAGCACTTTGGGAGGCTGAGGCGAGAGGATCCCTTGAGCCCAGGAGTTCGGGGCCAGTCCTGGCAACATAGTGAGACCCACCCCCATCTCTACAAAAAATTTAAAAATTAGCCAGATGTGGTGGTGCATGCCTGTAGTCCCAGCTACCTGGGAGGCTGGGACGGGAGGATCGCTTGAGCTCAGGAGGCTGAGGCTGCAGTGCACCATGCTTGTGCCACTGCACTCCAGCCTAAGTGACAGAGTGAGGCTCTGTGTCAAAAAAAAAAAAAAAGACACTTTTAGCCACAGGCATACTTAAAAATTGGTACAGTTTACATTAGAATATCAATTTACATCCTCTCTTGAAAAATCGGAAAATCTGGACAAAATCTGAGTTCACTTTTTTAAAGAAATTGTTTTTATTTCAATAGCTTTAGGGGTACCAAGTAGTTTTTGGTTACATGGATGAATTGTAAAATAGTGAAGTCTGTCTGGGTTTTTAGTGTACCTGTCAACCAAATAGTGTGTATTGTACCTAAAGGTTCACATTTTTGCATAGGAACAATACACTGGAACTAAATAGTGGCTGCCCCACAGACAGGCAGGTCACATGCTCTCCATTTGACATAGTCTCTGAGATTCCCTGTTGTTTTAAACAAGTCATACACTCATTTACATTACCTGCCAATTATATTACATAACATTACCTTACATTACATTTACATTACCTGACCCTAAATGCTTGAGTATGCAGTCCCCGATCTAAGTATTAGGGCAAGTATATCTAATGCATCATATGATGGAAAGTCTGCTGCACTTAGCAATAGTAACTGGGACTTTAAACATTGTAGATATATTTTGGTTAGCAAGCCTCTTAAATAATGTGATCATAGGGGTGGGAGAAGCGGTTAGCATTCATTGACACTAATTATTAGTGTCAATTAGAGCTGGAAGGGACCATATATTGCTAATCAAAACAAATAAAATACTTTCCCTGGCGGGATTTTAGAAATCATAGGGGATATATTTCTGCTAAAGAAATATTTCCTAGGATCTCATAAATAATTTTTTTTTTTTTTTTTTGAGACAGCGTCTTGCTCTGTCACCCAGGTTGGAGTGCAGTGGCATGATCGTGGCTCACTGCAACCTCTATCTCCTGGGCTCAAGTGATCCTCCTACCTCCGCCTCCTGAGTAGCTAGGACTACAGACATGCATCACCCTGCCTGGCTAATTTTTTTATTTTTTGTAGAGACAGAGACTCGCTATGTTACCTAGGCTTGTCTCAAACTCATGGTCTCAAGCAATCCTCTTACCTTGGCCTCCCAAAGTGCTTGAATTACAGGTGTGAGCCACCATGCCAGGCCTTCTCAAAAATTCTACTCCCAGTCCATTTGAGAAGTGTTTAGGAGAGTTTTTGTGACTCCTACAGCTTGGCTATAAAGAGGAGTTTACTATTTTTCTTTTGCCTCCCCATCCCACTGACATGTTTGGAGCCAGAAATCCAGGTCTTCCTGTTCCCAACCGTGTCCTTCAATGAAAGACCATCTTCCACTTGCAGAGATAGTGAGGAGGCCCAGACTCCAGTGATTAGCACATCAATTTGCTTGGGAACAGAATTCCTAAAGCCTCAGGTTTCTGGTTGTTCATAGTATTTAGTTTAGCATAAACCCACCCCATTTTATTTTTTATTACTTTAGTTAGTGCATCTAGATCATCAGTCTTCCTTTTGTACATAAGAATCATGTATCTTATTTGGGATGATTTTGGATCAGACAGTTTTCCTGTTATCTCTTTGTCATTCATTCACTACCTCAAATATGAATAGAGCTTATACTATGTCCTAGGTGTTGTGTGAGACACTAAAACTATAGAGAGGAATAGAGCAGTTCTTACCTTTCAGGGGCTAATAGTTTGGTGGATGTACTTCGAAAAGTATCACAACTATCATATAAGGGCAGAGTGTTATTTATACTTATTGCGGAAGGATATCAAGGCAGGTTGAAAGATTCAAAAGATTCTTAATTTTCTTTCTTTTTTTTTTTTTAGACGGAATTTTGCTCTTGCCCAGGCTAGAGTGAAGTGGCACCATCTCGTCTCAGTGCCATCTCCGCCCCCGGGTTCAAGTGATTCTCTTGTCTCTCCCTCCTGAGTAGCTTGGATTATAGGCACTTGCCACCATGCCCGGCTAATTTTTGTATTTTTAGTAGAGACGGGGTTTCACTATGCTGGCCAGACTGGTCTTGAACTCCTGACCTCGTGATCTGCCCACCTTGGCCTCCCAAAGTGCTAGGATTACAAGCATGTGCCACCACACCCAGCGT